TCAAAGAATAAAACACAAAACAAAGAGAAAGAAGAAAGGGAAAATAAGAACAGGATAGAAAAAAAAATTCGGAATGAAAAAAGACCAAGAAATATTTGTGGAACAGAGTAATAGGAAATGAAAAGGAAAAACTGAATGGAGGAACCAGACATGAAACCAAAAGAAATGTAAGTCACGAATTGAGAGTGCTCCATTTTTTGGTAAAATGACATCTCAGAGAAATTATCTTCCAAAAATATCATCGAAAATGACTAACAAGCTGAACATAAAGAGTTAGATAAAATCAACAAACATATCTTGATGAATAGAATTGGAACATCTGGTAAAATGAATCTATTAAAGACACTCCTCCCACACCAGAACAAAATACAATCTCTTGTTATAAAAAAGGTAGAGACGGATTTAGGTGAACTCAAAAACTAATTCAAAGAGATTCACATTTCATCCCCTTTGAGCTAAGTACACACATATTAACGCATACAGATTTACCATTGGTGGCTAGGTGATAACTTGAATTCTTCAATTTTCGAAAGACTATCATTATGTACCTAAATTAATCGATTCAGTAGCTAACACCAACAGATGTACCTAAAATAGAAAGGCCGTGGCACTGATTTCTCTGCGTAGTTATTCACTACGAATACTAGGAACAGGTATATCAGACCCAACTCAAGAACCGATCCCAACAAAATGAGCAGATTGGAGTCCATCGATAAGTTAAAGGATAACAAGCTTCAAGTTCCAAGGTTAGATAGACACATAAAGATACAGGCTCTATTGATTGCAACTTTCGCTAGAGCTCGCAAAAGTTGCTCCTGAAATGAACATATTTCATAATTGCCAAGCTGTAAGAAGGTATTGATCACCGACCTTCGAAAGAAGATGAGAGCACCTGAAACCATAAAGAGAGAGAAGTTGATATAGACCGGATCGACAATAGATACCAAAGTGGATCTATGGGCTACAGATTAGATAAGAAGAAACTAGAAAGAATATAAGAAAAAGAAGAGTTCCTTTTTTTGCCCGTCTTTCTAATTTGATAGAAATTCTGAAACAAATTTTTTTTTCTAAAAAATTTACTTGGACTACCATTGACTGTACAAGCTGAATCTGATTATTTCTTGAATAATTTTTTGGCAAGTTTACCAATGTAGAACGAAATTCCCTAACGCTTCTCCTTGTTTCTTGAAGGTTGAAATAAGTTAGGGATTTGTAGCTCCATAGAAAGTAATGATTCAGGTCAATCAGGCTAATTTATTGGAAACAATAAAATTTAAAGCTACCTTATCTGTTGGCAACACTGTGAGAAATACTCAAACGGACAATGGTCAACAATACTAAGAAATAACAATATACTTCCCCATGATCGCGAAATACTCAATAAATGTATAAGTGAAGATAGTGTTGGATGTATCTGAAATATTCAAGTTAACTTGGACATCTGGTCATACTTCCTGTATTTATATGAACAGGAAGAGTAATTCAATAAATGCAACCCATCTTTTTTGCAGAGAGGTATGACCTCAATCAAGACTGAGCATAGAAAGATATAAATATTTTTTCAGAATGATCATAATTCAATGAGTTCAAAAATTAAATACAACAATAACCAGTTGGAATGAAAAAATATTCTTGCCTGGAATCTATTTTCCACCAATAAAGTTATATTCAGTCGAGAAACTTTAATTTTGGCACAGAATCAATTAAAAATCAGTGATTAATTTAAATTATCGATGAGTGAAAGTAACTATGATGACATTGTGTCATTTATTCAAGAAGCAAGGATTGATTTAGATAAACTAGACTGTTTATTTGAAAATTACATTTTCAATATATTTCGAAAATATTCACGATGGATGTTCATCAGTACAGATAATATTTATTGAAACTTTCCGTTGACTCACATTTGAAATTGCATGAATTCCCATTAGCAGCAAGAATCATTTCGCATCGAAATTTAATAATGAAAATGCTGGCGACTGGAGCAATTATAACTAGATCAAGTTCACCTTCTCTCATATTATGTACCGCCCATGCTTTTCAACCTGAAGAACTTACATATTAACAGTTATTTCCCATGTCTCACTATATTCACCTCGATCCGTGGGAACTTGGCATGCCTCTACAGATATTTCACATGGCTCGATTTACCCTTTGCAATATTGCCAGATTCACTCCCATGAAAGTCTGTTATGTTTAAATTACCAGTGAGTGCCATTAAGATTTATTACCTTGCAAGAAATTTGCTTTTATATGCATAGATTAAAATATTCATCATTAGTTTTCTATTTAACGATAATTGACAAAATATTTTTCAAGGAGGTGTATCACCTCTGATCTTCTATTACTGTATTGCTTTGTATAACTTGAACCAGTGAAAGATTCAACAATTTGATATTTATTAGACATATATATTATTTGTTATTTTTTATAAGTATATTTGTTTGGTCAGTAATAAAAATTGCTGCGTTTCAAAAATGTTGGACAGAGTTCATGAACATTTTTTCTGTTCGAAATCAAGATAGATTTATTTCGTACTTAAAAAGTACATATGTTAGTAAATAATTTTTTATGGAGTGTATAACTCGTGAAATAGAAATTCTCATGGGAAATCACCCAATCTTTATTGTCAAGAAAATGCAAAATGTCAAATTTTTTTCTGTTCGGAATCAAGATAGATTTATACTTGAAAAATTCATGTCAGTAAATATTTTTTTATACAGTGTAAAACTCGTGAAATAAAAATTCATATGAGAAACCATCTAATCTTAATTGTCAAGAAAAATGCAATATCTGACAACAGCGCATGTCTGAGTTTACCCTGTACAATGCACTGACCAGAAAAGAAAAGGACACCCTCTGACCAGCGTAGTGGTGGGGATGCGTATTCCCACGATGTGAAGGAATGTCTTCTCCTGGTTTTTAACAACAACAATCATTCGCTGGATGTCAATTGATCCAGTAGAAGGTCTTCGGGTCTAAGGTCAGTGTCTTGAGTTTGTGAAGTGCAAAGACTATGAAAAGTTTGAATGGACCAAACATTTCAGGATATTGAAGTGGAATTTGTAAAATATTTATGAAATTGTGAAGTGACGTTTTGAAAAAAAATTACAAAAAATAAACATTTCTTCGTGATTAGAAACAAGTGGACAAAAAGTGCCATTTTTAACAGTGTTGGATTGAAATAATACAGCCGTTTCTTTTAACACAAGGTAAGGACATCATTTTTTTATCTTTATAGATTCTTGAAATACCGAAAAATACCTAGAATTAATAAACCTTTGGTTTTATTGCTGTATTATGCTGCACTATTCGGCATACAATCACACAAAATCATAATATTTTGTTGGCAATTCATTAACAAGAGTAATTTGACAAATAATTTACATGAAAATTCTTGATGGAAAATGAGTTCAAAAAACTCCCATAGAAATAATAATCATATACCTACCTAATTGATTGTTTGAAATAACTAGTCATTGGTAAATACATTTTGTATAAAAGCTACTAGTTAATAGTACTATGAAATTGATATCCATTTTTCTGATGGAGGAAAATATGAATTATTGTTATTATTTATCACTAAAAGTTCATTTATTGAAATTGTAGTTGAGGTTTGTATGGTAGGCTATGTGAAGTATAAAACTTGTGCGAGCTAAGGATTAACAAGGCCTGACCTTTTGACGTGCGATTCTTGGCACGGGACGGATAATAGGCAGTGAAAATCGATCGTCCGGTTTGTGGGCTTAAATCACCGTTTCACCTAAGGGTCGATTGCATGAGTAGAACAAACCACTCATGCCAACCCAACCGGCTATCGTGAATGCACGATATATCAATTGAAAATCCACATTCACAAATTTTTCAATTCAGCAATTATTTTCAGTTTTTTATAATTTTTTTTGTTTGTTGTGAATTTGAACATATTTTCTTCAACTTCCATGCATGAGATATTCTCACTGGTTTATTTATATTGAACTTGCTCGATGTTGTTGCGTATTTCCTTCATTCAGTATTTTTTCAATTAACTTTATACCTATCAGTACAAAGATAAATGGATGGTGTCATCAGAATTATCTCTCTCTCACCGAGATCTGATGATAGTTGTATATACTAATATTATTTTGTTTCATCTGAAGTAAACACTTGATAATTTCCACCCATTTCATGAAATGTTTTTGAGCCCAATATCACAATATTTTGTTCGAGAACTGTAGGTGTATTTTCCATTTTAAGATTTATATTTTCATACCTAGGATGTCCTGTGAATTGCATTCGTTTTGTTATTTTCAAGATTATATGCAGATGATGTATTTCACACAATATAGATTATTAAGGGCATTGATGTTCATCGGAAACAGTAGAAATTCAAGTGTGCTTGCCAAGTGTGTGTGCCAAGTCACAGCATAACAGTACATTATTGTGAATGATTATATATTTTCACACTATTGACGAACAATATCACACAATTGAAATTCTATTTCAACCTCAATAATCTATTAATGATCCATTTTGAGTATATATATTATGACATTATCCTTCATCATAATTTTTCTTCACCTACAGTTTGATATGGGAATCTTTCATCTTGTATTTATTGTTAGCTTTCTAGTCCATAGTGATAGGACAATAAAAACCACAAAAGCTTAAACAGTGAACTTTCTTCTACTTTATGAGTGCTATACCCGATTTTACTTCCGCAGATGTACATTAGTAGCCTGATGCTCATAGTATGTACTACTTTTGCCTTATGCTCTTTATATGAACCGGAAAGAATTTTCAGTTTCACATCAAGGCCTTCGACAATTTGTTTTGTCATTTATCGTGAACGTATTTTAAGATGATAAAATAATTTATAATCTATTTGGCATACGGTAGTATGCAATTACTACCTATGATGTATAAGTATCTATATCAAAGAGACTTTTTTAGTTTGAACAAATATTTCGTAAAGTATACCAAATATTTTCTCAAAATTTGACGAAGTAATTTTTTTCTAGCCTTCCCGTCATTCGAAATTAGAGAAAGCCGATATATTGGAAATGGCGGTCAAGTTTCTCCAGAATGTCCAACGCCAACACCTAGCTCTTGCCATGGCTAACGATTCTTCTGTGCTGAGAAAATTCAAGAATGGTTTCAACGAATGTGCCTCAGAAATAGACAAGTACATGGGACAAGTAGATGGGACTGACAGCACAATTAAACAAAGAGTATCCAGCCACCTTCAAAAATGTATAGGAGGAATCGAGCAGGTTGCTCAATTCAATTTTCCAGGATTCAATAACTTTCCCTTCATCGGCGGTAATACTATAATAACCACTACTCCCAACCAAGCAGAAATAGCAAGTAATATGGACACCCGTGATGATCAGAATAACAATCCTAGAATTCAAATACCACAAGGTATCCAGCTCATTCCCAGTAGGCTTCCTAGTGGCGAGTTAGCGCTGTTAGTTCCGAACTTTAGCAATATGCCTTATTTTCCGACAGCTGTTAATACTAGTACACAACGTTCGAGTGCGTTTGCAACAGTGATACCACAATCTACTGTAGCAGATCAACAAATTCCTAAACCTCTCAGTCCCCCTGTGAGTCCGATCAGTCAAGACGAACTGAGATTCAGAAATCCTTCACCACATGGCTTTAGACCAGTTATTCCAGCTAATAAAGTTAGGAATTACTCAGAAGATCACCAAGTGCCGCAAATATCTTCCACAGTATCCGGAGATAAACAACAGTTTTCTCAACCTTCAGAAGTGAAAACCTTGAAGTTTCCCATCAACAAATTTTGTGATAAGGACAGAAAAGTCGACTCTTCTAAAAAAATTGTAGAACCTCTCTGTATAATTACCAATCAAGCAGAAAGATACAAACAAGCTCAAATGAAAGAAGACTCTGCTTATTATGAAGAAAATGTGAAGCATGGTGTCAAACGAAAGTTTTCAGAAACTCAAGGTCTTCTGACAGTTACTCAACATGATTTCAGTTTTCCACCTCCACCAAAAATAATAAAGACACAACTCGTTACTCCAACTACAGGCATTACGTATGATAGCGACTCATCTTCAGATTCCAGATCGGATTTCAAGACAAATATTAGAGCTGAGAGCTCTCATAGAACTGAATCGTCAAGTAATCCCGATAAGCCATGTGGCTCAAGAGACAATAATTTTGATGGTAATAATGATATGTGGAGGCCTTGGTGATATTTGTTTATTAACTACTGTGATGTTTTTAGAATTAAGTTTACATGCTCAAGTTCAAGCTTTAATGTAATATAGTACAAACGTGCTTGAAAGGTGAATAAATGTTAAGTTCCTGAATGGTAGTGTTGAGATTGACTGAACTTTATGAAGTTTTTAGAAATATATACATTTTTATAATGTTTGTTGGTTTTCATTTGAGTAAAAAATGACATATAAAATAGTGTTGAATATTCCATTTAAGATGTATGTTTCACCGAAAGTGAATTTGAAATTTTACTTGTTATCTCATGATAACCAAGTTGGAAATAACTGCTTTCCTATTACAACCAATCTGCAAGAACAAAACGAAAAAAATTATATTTGAATCATTTATAGAGCTAGAAAAAAAAAAGAATAACTAGAACACAATTGAAAAGATAAATCATTCAACTAATATATTTGCATTTTAATTGAAATGTAAGGAAAGAAAGGAAACTCAAGGATAATATGTTGAAATTTTGAAATTTTTTTTGAAATTCTTGAAGTAAAATGATTGGAAAGGAAAAGAGTATAACGCATTGAAAAGGCAAGTCAAATAACAAATGAAAATCGATTGCGGCAGTCTTATCGCCAATAGAATATGCAGGAAATACAGTGCACTGTCAGATATAATCCAACATCCTTCGTGGTATTAGTTAGGGAAGAAGTTATTTTCTGATAGGTGTCAGTCCATTAACCTATAGCGTAAGGAGTTAAGGCTGGAATGAACGAATTGTTCCTTTAGATGATTCAAAAAAACAATACATCTCAAAAATGAATTTGAGACCATTGCACAGGTGACTCATTTTCAGATTGTTTGCATGCTGAGTAAATTTTCATTGGAAACGAATCAGTATGAAAACTAGTGTCAAAATAGGTCAATGACATAAAGGGTGGTTTCAAAAGTTTTTTTTCTGCAAGAAACCTTTCTCCTCACCAGGAATTGCAACCTCCAAATGTCGAAATTTGGGCGAGGTGAGAATTAACGGGGTCTTACTTCGAAAATGAGATTCCCAGTGTATAGGTTCTGTGATATTGATAGTAGTGTTTATCGAAAAAAAAAATTATATCAACTGCTATAAATATAATCATCGCGCTATTATTGTATGTTTTTTTCAATTCAATTCAATTCTTTATTTATCCATTCGAGCAAATACAGCTATAGGACAAGTCAAAAAACATATAGACATACAACAAAGTACAGTGAGTGAAATGATAAAATAAAATAAATTATGTACATGCATAACAAGGATTGCAGACAAAATACATTTAACATAGGATAGTGAAATAATACATGTTTACAGGTTGTTCTTTGAAAAATTAATCCATAATAATCTTCTAGGGAGTAGGGACAAAGATCAATTAGTATCTTTTTCACTTCGATAAAAAATTTCCGGTTTGAAAAGGATCTATATCTTAGTGGAAGTCGATTATAGAGTCTTATTATAGAGTACAGTAGGTGAATTTAAGCTAATATTTAAGCGTCTGAAGGGAACGCAATATTTGCCTTTCTGTCTAGTATCATAATTGTGTAGTTCATCTACACTCATATGTTCGTCACGAGCTTTGTGTATATTCTTAAAAAGTCCTAAAATGAAAATACCATTAACTGTTAAAATCCTCATGTTTTTGAAAAGGTCACGACAACTATGGTTAAATGAGACTCTAGCCATACATGTAATAATGCGCTTTTGATCCAGAAAAACATTTTGTGCATATGCTGATCCACCCCAGACTGCAATACCATAGTTAATTCTTGATTGAACTTCTGCAAAATAGAATGAACGGAGATGACTCAAATTCAATGTATATCTAAGATTTCTGATTTGGTAACATTTTGAGTTCAGTGTCTTAGAAAGCTGTAGACAGTGAGTTCGAATTGATAAGTCTTCGTCCAAAAAAATTCCAAGAAATTCAACACTTTCAGTACTATAAATGCATGTGTTATTAATGTTGATATTTAATGGCGGTACGTTTTTGTTTTGATGAATATGAAAAGTTACACAATTTGTTTTGTTTGTATTAAAAAGAAGAGATATATCAGAAGACCAGACTAAAAAGGTGTGCATTGTGGTGTTAATTTTTGTTTTCAGAATTTCAGAGTTTTCTCCTGTAAAAAGTAGCGTTGAGTCATCTGCATACAATGTTGTGAATGCATCAGTTAAGATCAGAGGTAGCTCATTAATATTTAAGACGAATAGTATTGGCCCCACAATGGAGCCTTGAGGTACCCCAATGTCATTTCTTCGAGGAGATGACCGAAATGTTTTACCACAATGAGAGATTTTTACAATTTGTTTCCGTCCTTTCAGATATGAGCTAAACCAGTCATGAATTTTACCTCTTATACCAAATTTATATAACTTATCAAACTGAGTTTCGTGTTGAACACAATCAAAAGCTCGACTTAAATCACAAAATATTCCTGTTGGATGTTCACCCTTCTCAGTAGCTATTAATACTTTCTCATAGAACGAAATAATTGCTGTTGTAGTATTGGCTATGAAAACCATGATGATTATCCATAATAACTTTGTTCCTCTCTAAAAACGATACCAGTTGATTTAGAACCACATATTCAATTACTTTTGATATAACTGATGGAATAGTGATTGGTCTATAATTAGATATATCAGATGGATTACCTTTCTTTAAAATAGGAGACACTAATGAAGTTTTCAATTTTGTTGGGAATATCTCGTCCTCAAGAGACTTAATAATCACGTGAGTTAGAGGTTTAACTATATATTCTGCAATTTTATTTAATATTACAGCTGAAATTCCATCATAACCACAGGAGGGCTTATTTTTAATTTTATATTTTATAACATTGAGAAAATCTATCTCAGAAACATATTGAACAAACATACTCTCTGTTTGAAAATTACCCTATTGTCAATAGATTCAGCAATATGGTGGGTTACAGTCAGAAGATTGGTGACCGTTGAACGATTTTTCATAAAATCGTGTTGGTTTATACTTATATTGCAACTAACATGCCGATATATAACTCGCTCCAGCAGAATCTCAAAAACCTTTGCAAAGTTGCAAATAATAGAGATAGGCCGATAATTTGAAATATCTCGTCTATCTCCTTTCTTGAAAATGGGATAGACTGTTGATGATTTCCAGATCCTTGGTATTGTAGCCGATCTTGAGCAGATATTAATTAGTATAGATAGAGGACGAGCAAGCACAAGTGCACAATCTTTTAGGATTAAAGCTGGAATGTCATCTGGACCAGCGGTCTTTTTAGGCTTGAGCGACCTTAGTGCCTCGTATACTTCGTTTTCACTGAAGCTTGATATATCAAGAAAGTGATTATTATCAATATCAGAGTTTGGTTGAAAATGGGAAGAAGCGGTATTCGATTGCTTGAAAAGATTGGCAGAACCGTTCACGATGTTAGAGGACCCCTCCTGCAATTGACCTTCAAAATTCAGTACTTGTGATATTTTGGAGCTGCCTCGTTTATTATTTATAAATGATCAAAATCTGTTGGGATTGATATGTATTTCTTCCTCAGTTTCACCTAAGAATGTTTTATATGCCACATCAACATCATGTGATTATGAAGTTTTTAGAAATATATACTTTCATATGGTGTTTGTTGGTTTCAATTTGAATAAAAAATGACATCAAAAATAGTGTTGAATATTCCAATCTAAGATATATGCAACAATTGAAAATTGAACAATCAACAAGAAATATATGTTTAAAATATATTTTTCCGTTAACCAGCTGTTGTATCCCTATGAACGACAACCCTCAGAAGTCGATACTTGTGCGAGCTAAGGACTAACAAGGTTTTACCTTTTAACGTATGATACGTGACACTGGTTGGACAATAGCAAGTGAAATTCGATCGTTCAGCCTGTGGCTTGAACCACCGAGTCACACATCGATTGATTGAGAGAGCAAACAAAGCACCACGTCATATATTGAACATCAAGTGGTCTCAAGCTGAATTCATCCACAAGGGAGAACACTGGTTCAGGGGAAATTCAAAGAAGCCGCATATATGTTGTCCAACAACGCATTTAGCCAAGCTAGCGTAGAGATACGCAACATATTGAACCCTGTAATCAAGAGGAAAACGGCCAACTCCCACCAAACGGTCAGCTCCAGCTAAAACCGATGAAGCGGATAGAGGAAAGAAGGGATAGGTGAAAGCATTCGAATAACCTATAAATAGTCATCTTTCGGAGAAATAAGTCCAGTCATCACCCGCGAAGACGATTGTGGATACTAACAATCGAAACGTCGTGAAGTTACTTGGCTTGAAATCTTTTAATTTTCATTTCTTGTTAAATGTTAAATTTTCAATAGTTGCTTTTATGTTACTTCATGGTAATTTCAGTCATTTTTCTTGATATGATTGTAATTTTTTTAGATAATATTTTCAATTCTATTGATTCTTACAAGAATTTCAAATTTGTTTGTAGACAATGGAAGTTCGAACTAATGAAAGGCACCATATCTAGTCAACCACCTTCAAAGAAATGCTTTACTATCACAGCCTATGTGCAGAAACCAAATAAATGAAATTATGATCGAATCATTTATAGAGATAAAAAACTGAAGGATTAGAATACACTGGAAAAGAGAAATCATTCAACTAATATGTGTAGAGCTGAATTGAAATATAAGAAAAGAAAGGGAAGTAGTGAACAATATTTTGAAATGTTTCGAAATTCCTCGGGGAAATCTTGAAGAAATGAAATTGAAAAATCCGGAAATGCAAGTCAGATAGCAATACTTCTCAAACATAAAATTGGGACCACTGCACAGATAATCTTTTTTCAGATTGTTTGCTTGCTAGACCACTAATGAACAAATTTCTATTGAAAACGAATCAGTATGAAAACTTGTTTTTCTTGGTGTTTCAAAAAAAGTCAATGATATACGAGTGAAGAATGGTTTCAGAACTAACGAGGTCTCACTTCGAATATAAGATTTCCAGTATTCTATATCCTAGCGATTCCTATATCTTGATACTACTGTTTATATCAATTGTTATGAATTCTACTCGTGGGTGATTTCATCCTATTTATAGTTCGTTTCCAGCAATGAGTCTATCAATGTAAAAATTTCCATGGCTAGCCATGTGAATAATTGCGGTGAAACGACCTATGGCGGAATAGCGCGCTCGCCTCTCTTC